CGCGGGCGCCCCCGGCACCCCGGGAACCCCGACACCCCCGCACCCAGCGCCGCTCCGCGGGGCCGGGCGCCCCACCTGTGTCCTGGGGGCTTCCTCCGTGCCCGGGTGGAGTGACAGCCGTCGGTTGCTGGAGGGAGCTGGAAATAAAGGAGACCAGTTAGAAAGTAGGCAGTTGGGGATGGGGGACAGGGGCGGGGGGGTTGGGAGAAAAAAAAAAAAAAAACAAAAATATAACGATGCAAAGAGATTCTCCACCTGCCTCTGGTAGTAAACGTTTCCCACCCCCGGGTATTTAGAATTTAATTACAATCAACCTGGTGGCTAAATATCTGTCCAATGCCTTTGCTGCCCCACCTATTGAACTGCATTTTCCACAACACATCTACTTAGCACTGCCCGAACTTACTCTCACACATCCTAGAGATAACTTTTGCAGCTGTTTTGTTCTCTCTGTCCTCCAAAAAGGCCTTTTATCACTTCTTATCACTTCTACTTATCTGAGTGTTTCAGACTTGTTTTGGCATTGGCAAGGTGTAAAGCTGTTCGGGCAGACCCTGAAAGTGTCACTTCTTCAGTGATAACTCTGTGTGTAATGGGTACAGTTTCTCATTTTTCTGTTATCACAGATGACATTTCCCTTTTTTCATTGTGTCCAGCGTGATACTATGCAATGGGTGTGTTGCAATAATCCTAGCATTTTCTTGCACTTTGTTTCCTGAATTCCAATAAAATAACAGTTTTCTTTCAAAAATCCAGATGAACTGGAATCTGCTGGGGTCTTCCATTGCCAGCTTTTTGCCCATGCCAGAGATAGCTGGCTTTTTAAGGCTTTTTACTGGAAGCATAACTGAAGGTAACAATGTTTATTTTGCTGTTGCAAAAAAAAATTTATATGTGTCCTAAGCTAAATACAGGAGACTTCATTTTATGATTCATGGCACAAATGCCAGGATAGACATGCACCACAAGAAGTCCTTACATTCCACATTATTCATTGGTGTTAGCCCCCCCTCCCCCTTTTTTTTCAGCGAAGCCAAAAACTTAGCAAATAATTTTTAAGCTTGTAAATCAACTCTTCTAACGATTAGGAAATATATGATGATGGATATAACCTATGGAGTTCCTTGCAAGAGATGGAGAAAAAAAGGAGCATGTGTTTTGAAGGCATTGGTGGATATGCTGTGGGAGAAGACCTTTGGGCACATCTCCGGGCTAGAAAAGTGTTACATTTCCTTCAACTTTTTGGTGCCGATGCCCAGTGCATCTCCAGTCCTACCTGAAGCACAGCTGCTGAATTACAGCACAGGGCACCCTCCTGCCTGACCCAGCACCCAGCGCTTGGCCTGCAGCTTGGCACATCCCACCCCAGGGGAGACAAGAGCCTCTTTGTGGCCACTGTAGGCCAGTACAACAACGAGCATTAAACAGGCGGGTTTAATCGCTTGGTCTTCTTTTACAAGATGGTGGGTTTTAAATGGTTAACAGGGTACAGAAGCGCTGTGTACTGTTACAGTTGCTTTTGGCTGTTAGTTTTTCATCTGAACGGAGTTTTGAGTGGTGGTCCTTAAGACCTTCAGCAGCGCACAGAGGCCACTCAAGAGAGACTGAAACCTCTGTCAGGCCAGCCCAGCCACCTTAAATCGGAGATAACCTTCACTCAGAAGAGATTTTATGGTGGTAGAGTTAGGGATGCTGTTCAGGTCTCTGGCTCCCAGTATTCAGGACTTTAAAATCCTGCCCTCAAACAGTGATGAATGAGGGTGTGCTCAGTTAGCAGCGTCCCACAGAGAAGGCGTTGGTGTCAGAGAGCTCAGGTGCTCTCTCCCAGTCAACGTTGTGGCTGTTTTGCATGTCAGACACTGTCTGCCTACAAAGGCAGTCAGCCCCTCATCCCGATCTGCAAAGTCAGTATTATTTCTGTGCATGTTTACTAATAAATCAATGCAAAGACCACCACATAGGTGATGTCATAGTGTGAACACTTCTTTTAGCATGAACCCCTTAAACAAGAGATCTCCCCAGGCCTCTTAATCAAGTTCAGCACAACAGCAACCATGACAGTTTGTATCTGTTTGCCCTGCTCTGGCAGCTCATTGATCAGGGAAAAGAGACAACGGACTTCCCTAGGTCTGACTAAAAGCATGATCTGAGTCTGTGAAAAATGTTATGATGATGTATCACGAAGGCCTCCTTCTCCTTTCTTACCTCAATTTACTCCTGAGTAGTTTCTCCCTGGGAAACCAGGATTTTCTCCCAAGTTACTCAAATGGAGAGTTGGTCCCTATGGCATATGGTCCCCTAGACTCGTTTCCACACAAGGGAAAGCTGGGCATGCAGCCTGGGTAGGCATCACAGTGTTTTTACCAGACTCATGGTCTGAATTCCTAGGGAACAGAGTGCATATGTGTCCGTGTGTGGAGCTGCAGGTGAGCTTAGATTACATCTCAGCTGTTTACAGCTCCTAAAAGCACCTGTAGTCATTTATTCCAGAGAAGTGTCTCAATAGTTTCAAGTGCTCTGTTAGTCTTACATTCAATGAATCT